TACTAAACAACAAATTTTGCTCTAGATGGCGCAAGCTGCGCAAATGTAAGCTCTGACGGTACTTAGCTGTTTAAATACTCGAGAGCTAGAGAAGAGATACGTGACCCTCACCATCCAGCTATTCACATACATCAGAGTGCCTAACTAGGACATTTTGATCTTTTAGTGAAGATGTATCATAGGCCCTAAAATGCGAACTCCTTAAGTAGAGAAGTTCTCCATTATGTCCCTAGTCTAAGCGCAAAGTTGGAAGTGAAGAACCGGGAGCTGTTTAAATCTTCTTAATATACAGAAGTATCTTTAAAATTATCCCATGCTCAAAAGCTTCTCAAAACCTCCGGTTTTTTACTTCTTGGGCAGAAGTCTGACCAATATCGGAAAATGATACAAAGACAAAAGATAAGCCTCTTGAAAGACCCTCATAAAATGAATACAAAGAATATTTATATTGTCTACAAAAGACTGGTAAATTGCATAGTTCATCGAAAACATATCCAAAATGGAAGAAGCTATAAGTAGACTCTGGTTCATGTTTGGCCTGTAGAGATGTGTGTATTTGATTTTCATTAACACCGTGGAAATCAATCAACTGTGTCTGTAATTCTGCGTATAGGGATACCTGTTCGTTTTATTCCTCATGGAGCAATAAGAACCAAATGCAATGACATTTTTAGTGCTATCGGCTCAGAGAAAACGATCCCGGTGAAACTTTGAAAAAGCCCACGATGTGGCATTATGATTTATCTGTGAGGAGACGAAATTCGAGATTAGCGCCGACTTAGAGGTGAGCTGATTAGTTATTCAGAACAGCAGAAGTAGTTCGTTTCCAAGATAATGCAATGTATGCGAGCCGCACATCTTAGACAACCAGTTGTGTACGGATCACTGGTATTGCCAGACAAATTACACGAATATGCAGTAACAAAAACACTAGATAATTGGAATCAAAAAGGAGTCGCAACAAACTTTTGTTGGACAGTGTAATAACAAAAGAAGTGGAATCCAGGTGGTATCCGGCGTCAGTGGTAGCACGTAAAGAATTTATAATGAATAATTTAGTATACTTTGATCACCCTCATACCTGCTCGTTTGTCTTCCCCGAGGACTTAATGCCGCTCATTTCTTTTGTCTTTTGAACATCTGCTATCCGGTTGCATTGTATCCGAATGGGTGCATATACACAAATTGTGAAGCGGATAAAAAGTATTTCGGAAAAGTCTATCATGCTTCGAGAAAAATAGCATAACCATGGAAAAGAAACAGTAGCTATCACTCATACATTGCGTATATATATATATATATATATATAATGAAGTTTTGGGAGGAATTGTCTCACTTCGTTTTTATTCTTTTATATGATGAGAATAAAATGCATTACAGTTAAAGATACCAGCCACCAACCTCTCCAGGTCTTTTCAGAGAGCTAAGATAAACATTATGGTGCCGGTGACACGCGTTATGGGCTAACTGATATTGCACATGCGACTGCCAAGTTAACTTTCTATTGTTTATGAAGTGAACTTGAACTATTCAGGCCACCCGTCAGCTTTTAATATTCCTCTATTGGCTATCTGGTCAAGTTTGGGTGTTATACAGACCTATATCTACCTATGCTCTCATGAGTCAGTGTTTAACCAGTATTTCACTCGGACACTTATTCTCATACTAAATGTAACGTGACCACAGCATATAATCCTAGATTTTGTGACATATGGTGTTTAAAAACCTAGTTCTCTTCCGTCAAACGGACTTCGAGGTGGTAGATCACATAGAATCGTCCGTATGGTCAAAAAGTACGATTAGACCAACCTTATTACATGACGCTGCGTACATCAGAACGCTTTCTGCAGGTATCCACTGTGTTTTAAAAGAAGGAAATCTGGTGCCAGACCCATGCCACCCAAAAATGTATACATCATCGAGATTGCTAGGAACCGCTTGCCTAATCATTCGAAGTCCACCTGGTTACAGTTGCATGGGTTTTGTGCTGCCTGTGACAAAGCGATTATGCCGCTACCAACGGCAGTCCTATGATCCACAAATGCAATTTGTGGATTTGTCGTCTACCTTTGTACCAAATCATGATAAACAAGTAATGGGTTGTAAGCAGGAATGGTTCTAAACATTTATTTATACTCTGTTATCTTGTTCTTCATCCCTTACGGGAGATGCATGCATAGATGCGTAAAATAATTTATTTTTGTTGAACACGTTCCATTTTACTCGTGGATTACCGTTGTGTGACAGATCTAAGAAGAATTTTAACATTTGTACCGGTCCAGTGCATGTCCAGTATTTCCGGCTGACCGAAAGCTGTCTCGGATTTCGATTCATGCCATGCATAAAATGAAATGCATTATATTCGCTTTCAAATTCAGGCACTACATAGGGTTAGGCCAATGCAAAGAAGTTTCACTTGTCCGGAGAATGGGACCTCCAAACTGAAGAAAATGAAGCCACCACAGTACTTTCCCTCGATGTAAACATGGTTGATGAAGGGGACAATATTTGAATATTTCATACCACATGCAATTTACTATATAAGAGTGTAACTAAATGGGTTGGTAACAACGGAGCTCCTCCGTAGATGCACAATTCTGCCGATAAGAATAACGATTAGAAAAATTTGTTTTGACGCTCGATCGCCAAAAAACTTAGTTGAATGGGTCCGTTAGCAATGTATATGCATAAATTGCCTCATGCGCACATAAACATCGCGCCAATCATAATAAAATGTTTGCGAACATGATGAAAGAAAGAATATAATTTACGTAAAAAGCATTTGCAGGTAAACGAAACAATGGGGTCTACTTATCACTTGCAACGTTCTATCGGTAGTGCCTAGTCACTTCAAAAGTCACGCGGTCCTTGAGACCGTAAGTACTTAACATCAACCCACTATCATTAATTTTGCGAAAGACTTAGAGAACATTTCTCACGAGTACAATAATCATAAAGTGATAAACCATTGATCTGGTTATAGTAAGTAGTTCATCAGAATAATAACTTTTTGAATCGTGTTTTAACTTGTTTGTTTAAAGTCTGTTTAATAACTAAAATACTCAAGCCTGATGATTGTTAGCTGTGCCCTTTATACTTAGTCAATATTTACGCCTCGGATAAAGCGAGGGTTCAATGGATACCATTAGTGAAGATTCACAGTACGTGAACAGGGTCATATATATCATGCATCCTATTGCACATTTATCAGATGTTATACCCAACAAGACTCGTGCATTTTTCATGGTGTGGGACCGACGCCAACAATTATCTAATGAAAAAGTGGCAATGTTTTGTCCCCAAACTGCTTTCCGATGGGATTAAACAGTTAAAACAGAGACACACACATACGGCTAATCTCTTCTCGTGCTACAGGTTCAACTCAGCGATCATGTGAAGAGGTCGAAAGGCAAATGCAAATGGGCTCAACGTGCATGATGCGAGCGCTGAAAGGAAATCATGTGACCTAGTTCTATGCAGATGAGATTTCTGAAAAACCCCATAAACCCAGAGAGACAAAATGGAGTATAATGACAGCATTTTGTTTACAAAATGCATCCAGTTCAACAGGTTCAATGTGATCACGTTTATAATCCTGATTCAAAAATATCCATAAGAAGCGTCGAGTGCTACTGCATCCCCAAATGGGATTAACTAATTGTAATTCACAGCTTATAGCAGCATTTATTTAGCACAATCATTTAGAGGAGACAACGGGTTTGGAAGGAAATCTGAAAGCATACTGTTTTTTAAAATCAATAAATCATTTTACTTTGTTTTACGGCCAACACGCATACGCAACTTTCAAGAACGATTGAACTTCAGCCACTACTTAAAGGATAAATGAGCGAGCATAGGTGGCGATGATGGAATTCACACACATCCTTAGGGGGTGATAGAGGGAAACCTTTAACGCTTGACAACCACAAACCATCTCCCAGGTATTTATTGTGTTTCATACACGTCTGAATCCAGACTGTGTACCAAACGAATCATGGTACATAAATCTTCGTCAAAAGAGAAGGTTCGATGATTTTTCCAGGTCAAGGCAGGTTAATTCTCCATAGGAATTCACAAACGGACCCTTTCACGAATCCGAGATTGATGCTCCAGTTATCGAGGCGATATGAAGACTGCAATTCACTGTGGGGCCAGTGTCCATTTGATCGGATGGATAGGGTCAGACATCCAAGATGCCCAATAACTCCCATGCTCAAACAATCTGGTGACTACTGTTACAACCCCGAAGGGTAGCCTGGTTCTTAAGTCTCATCTTAGTTGATATGGAAGAACCGTTTTTAACACACTAGCCTAGGTAGACTACTGGTGGTTCATGAACACGGGTATGACCCCACATGGTATTTTAATGCCTCCGAACTTTGGCGTTGTAACACATTCGTCAAAAAGACGTAGAGAGTAGAGATTCCTCAGCAAAGACTGTTTGAGGAGCTTGGTTGTATAGAAACCGTTCGTGAGATGCAAAAGGAAGAGGGATCCAGCGAAACCGAAGAGACCTACCCCAAAGCTTCCGGTGCCCTACTGATTGACTTAGTATCCGAAACTAGTTATGTTGTAAGCCATAGTTCCAAGGTAAAATGCTCATTGTGCCATACTAAGTATGAGCTTATGCTAAAGTGCAGCCTCAGGCTGGAGCTAAGAAGTGTCGTCGATTCGGTTATGAATAGGCATAGTTAAACAATTTCCACCTGCGATTTTGTATTACAATTTGTATTAATTTGATCCAACTAAAATTTAGTGTCGTTCAAAATCAACAGTTTTGCTTGATCATACCGAAACACAATGAACTATCAAATCTGTGTTTAGCCTTTTGATAATCGCTCTTTAGTGGTCGGAATTCTTCAGCATCAAACGCGTTGTGGCTCACCCAGTTCTATTCGTCACCCTCATCATAACTTTTGTTACAAAACAAATATTAGTGGTGAGTGAAGTGAAACAATGAATGAGCATACATATCACTTTCTTTACCAATAGAGTTGATGTTTAGCTCACATTTGTATGCACGCACTTATTGGTAGACCCCAGGCAAGATCAACTGTGAAAAGAACCGAGTGCTGGGCCGGGGCAAGGATTAATTGAATATACGTTTTGTTCGTCATGGTAATCTGCGTTAGAAACTTGCCCATACAAAACGATACCGCACATCCGACTTCCAGATTACCAACAAACCTATTCCAAAGTTTCTTTTGCGGCTAATCACAGACTTCCACCGTTGCATTTTACTCAACAAACGTTCTACCACATTTGCTGCTGGTTGGAAAACGTAGCAAAGTGGAATGCCGTACAACGCATAGCACGGAATGCGGTAGATTAGAGGGTATAACAGTCCGCTAGATTACTAACTCAAGTTCCTCATTGTTAACTGCCTTTAAGCTATAATTTATGCGACGGATGAATCAGGTTCTAAACCAAAGAAAGGAACTTGCTGAGTAGAAAAATGGAAGAAATTTATATTTGATTCATCTAATTTAGGCAAATTGACTTGTTTATTTGAGATTAAGTTGTGTGAATTTTTTTTATTTCGCACTGCTTTCTTTTGAGATACTTTCATCGGATTGTAGTTTGATATTTTCAAATTGACGGAGCTAAAATTGCATACATAATATGCGCATCGTTTCTGGAAAATAATCAATGAGTCAATGCTTTTCGTTTATTTGCAACGGTTTATTCAATATCATTTACGAAATTCAAATGATGCAATTATTTGCAAAAAGAGAATAGCCTAACTGTTTTAGTGTAAGATGACGTGCAAGGTCTTTCAGTTGTGTAGAACAGGTTCTGAGTATTGAATCATGAAATCTCTGAATTTGGCCAGGGTGCATAATAGAAAACATCTGCGTTCTATGCTCTATTACTTCGACGGAAAACTGATATCTGTACAGTTATAAAAATAGTATGATACGGTTATCTGATTCCTTGAAAATGTTTGATGTATTTGAAATATCTTGTTGTGGTTGGAATGTGTTTGCAGATCAAGAAAATGTTTATGTGTAAATCAAATCGACCTCTGTTTGAGAACAACTCTAGTAAGTTACGGTTTCCAGACATGAATGGAGAACATCCAGCAATAAGCATTGGGAAAACCACTCCCAGTCGTGACTTATATTAGCAGGCCAACAATAAAATCAGAAGAGACAAACAGGTATAATACTTTTGGTAGGTTTTATTATATGAATCAACAAAAAGAGATGGGAAAATGTTGCCGACAATTATTTGTGGATTTATCGTCATCAAATAATGTTTCCTGATTTACAGGTCAGTTAAATGCGTCAACTTTGCGTTGCACAAGTGGTGTCCTCACACCGTGCAAACGTTAAAATAAAGCAAAATACCGTTTAAAGAAAGTGATACCACTTGAGAAAGACGCATTGTCCACGCATTCCAAAATAAACGAATGATTGATTGCATCTCATGTTTATTTGGTTCTCCCAGAACATTTCTATATACATTTTCTAGAACTATTTGTAGCAGTTGTTGATTATTTAATAATAATATTAATTTTTATCCCAATTTACCATCACCGAAGTGACGTTTTCGTAGAGGAGTTAAAAACGAACACATTCAGTGGACTTAAAATTTGACTTCAGATTGGTTTGAATACCTCCAAATAATCATATAACAGATGGGATTCAAATAAGTCAATTATGTGTGTTTCTGTTCGTGGTCAAGTTGAGTGCTGTTCAGTTGCAATCGACAATCGGCTCCCCGCTCCGCCTGTTTTGATGCGTCATATGCAAATTGCAATCAATACGGCATGTTGTGATCGAATTTCGAACGAGTCATCCAATATTTTATAGTCAATACCATATCTGTGTATGGAAGTGTTTTTTCCCATACAGCTGAACAAAATAAACTTGTTTTGCATCACCTGGTTAAAATGAAGCGTAAAATGGATAACACATGGTTAGCTTTAGCTCACCATCACGAAATTTCCAACAAAATCGGAATCTTCAAGAACATAATTCGGGTTCATGAACAAGGTGATTTGATCAGAGCATAACGATTAGTGAGGCTCGATTGAATTCAACAGTGTTTTGATATGCAGTGATGGCTAATGATTGAAGGGGTACCGATCAAAACCAAGAAACGATTACCTCGTATCTCGAGAACAGACGCAAAATAAAATATTCTTCACCCGGTGCTCATCGTGAATAATAAACCCAAGTTAGTGGTAGCTTGAATATTTCCTTGCTGAATATGCATTTTTAACCAGGTTTTGAAGTTTTCATACTATTCAAGCATGGTTATATTGTGATACGTGATGTGTTTTCAGTTTACTCGTGGACGCAACCTGTTCCTGCATGGCAAATACTTTATTAAGGAACTTTAATGGTTGCTCAAACCGTGTGTGTCCTTTCACCATTGTGCCTACACCAACGACGCAGTTATATTATTGTTCAGATTTTAATAAACAAACTAGCTGCAACTTTAAATGAAGAAACGTGGGATATAAATTTGACGTCTAGGAAAAGATACGTATGGCTAACTTAGGACAGTTATGAGATACGAAGGAAAGGCAAACTTCATTAAAAATGAATAGCCCTCACCGATTGGTTTAATAAAGTGCAATTGTTTGACTTTCCGGGATAGAAGTATGCTAATGGTTGCTTTCACGATTAACTGAAGGAATAAATTTCTCTATCATTTGCAGAAGTTTGAATGTTGATAATGCTTTGACTTTGTCTGAAGTAATTTGGGGCAGCCGCGCTATGCTAGGGTATCTTTAACGAAAACCAAATGGGACCTGATCTCAACATCATTCTGGGGATTCAGAACCATACTATTAGCGGAAGCATCACTCGATCCGGTTAAAGTGCGACCGTGCCAAGTTATTTTAGTGTGGTGACTGATGATGTAGAGCTCGATAGACGCAATTGCTTGAACTCAGTGAACAAATTTGCATATTGCTGCTCATTCTCTTACCACCTCATGTTCCCGGGACCGAATAAACCTGGCCAACCACTGGTATGGTTTTAGAAAGAAAATTGTTATTACAAGGTGGAAAAATGGTTTTTCCTCGGGTTCCCTATCTGACCGTGGTCGAATACCACGAACCAGAAGTGAGCATTTGAAACTGGAGCACATAATGTGGCTCAAGGATGAAGGGCGTGAAGTGCCGTCATCTCAGAGGGCTCTAGAATACTTGAAATCAGAGACCTCAGATACAGTACTGCCTTTTGTTTCCTTGATAATTTAGCCTTTTTAGATCTGGTCAGACATTGTTAGCTGCGATTGATCCAGTGGGTTAGAGTTCCGTAGTATTTGGAAGTGGAAAACCCTTTCATAAATAAGAAGAGAACAGTTGCATGGTAAAACCTTGATCATAGATATTCCTGGAATGGGTTAATAAAGTCACTCAGATGAACGTTTATTGTTTGTTAGAAGTATTTGTTTCATATAGCTTTGTGATACAGACGTCTTTTAGATGTCACTCCCGTTTAAATTTTTTTAT